TATAACCTCCTTTGGTGTTGTGAGTTCTACCTGTCTAATGGTCATCTGGATTCCCTGCACGCTTTGCAGCTTCTCCTCTGCTGTTAGCTTTCAATTTCTAAGGACTACATATCCCATGGTACCTTGCTTCCTGCAAGCAGTGATTACTGTACTGACTCCGCCTCCTGAAAACTCCTCCTCTCAGCGCCTCTGTAGGTCAGAAGGCATGTTCTGTGAAATGTGTGACACAGCAGTGCCTACTCACAGGCAGTGGTGTATTTATCTTTTGTGCTGCCCTAAGCAAAACACACAAAAATTGGATGCCCCTCCCTGGCAGAAAGAGAGCCTCGAACTGACCAACACCAGACCGCCCTGTGGAGAGAGCCTGATAGTGACCAACAACACTCCTGCCCCATCCCCCCCCCACAGAAGAGAGCTTCCCACTCAAAACAGTACTCAAGTTCCTCTTTAAGCATTCATCCACACTAGCAGTTGGGGGGTGCATAAAATCCCCTGGATGAACTGCTCCTTTACTCCCCCCCCCCAATTTGTTTCTCTTTTAGCTGTAATGGCAGAGCAGGAGGGGTGTACACATGTTGTGGCACGTTGCTTCATGGCCATTGCAGGAATTATATCTCCTGTCACTTTTGGTGGGCGTAGAGCCCACTGAACGTGACCCATTTAAGTGAATCTGATCCCCCCTGCAACATGTGCTAGTACGGGGTTGAAGAATATAAACAGGCAGTGACGAGACAATACAACCCCTGTTCCCTGCCTGTCAATTTCTGAATGCCGGCCACTCATCAGTAAGCAAAGCATGTGCCATAACTACAACAGAAAAAAAAAACAGATCTCTTGCCCTGCCAGGGCTGTGCACTGTGACTGAGCTGTGTAAATCTCAGAACTGGACGGACAGCAATACAATTTGTTTGCCTGGTAAGCAGCTCCTGTATATTTCAGTTTTGCATAAAGCAACTGAGAGCAGTTTACCAAACTTTTGGGAATCATAAAAAGGTACAAGCATGCACTAAACCCCCTGCTAATTATTGTAAAAAGTAAAGAAATAAAGAAAAGAACAAAGCATTGTTTACTATAAAAAAAAAAATAATTGTGTTTATATGATACTGGACTAGTGGGAAATAAATTGAATGTCACCTCCCTGCCCAGAGTTTCTAGAAAGTCTGTTGATCAACTCTGCCAGCATTATAGGGGAGAATTATAACCTCGACTGAAATAGTCTCCATTTTTCATAGACCTTTATCACCGCATTTAATTAAAAATAATAAAAACTCGGGACGGAGGTTTGCTGCAACCAGAAAGCAACTATGCTGGAACAGGTTATAGCTGGAGCCCTTTATCAGTTTTATGTAGCTACTAAACAGCTAAAAGTACAGGGAGGATATCATTTTACTGGACTAGGTGCTTTAACATTATAGACGGGATGAAATAAATGGTGACACTCATATTTTCCCACCCTCATTTTGCGGGATTGAGGGACACATTGTTTGAGTTAATTCACAGCCCACGTGTTGTTATTTTGTTGCCCACCAGTGTCATAAACAGGAAGATTTGTGCCTGGAGTAAAAAAGCAATTTCTCTTATAATATTGTGGGGAATTTATTTGCTGGCAAGGGGGCCGTAACAGCCAAAGGATTGTAGAATGCTCTTAGAGTGACCTTGGCCAGTTTAGAGCGCCATCCATCATGGAACATCAATGCAACAGTGTGTTATCATTGGAGGATGATTGGGATTCAAGTGGTCTATTAAACAATTTTTAATATTTTTTTTTTGCATTTAAATTTTTTATTTTTCATCTTTAACATGATTCCACTGTGTGCATATTTCTAGAATTCCAGTGCAGAAAACAGAACTGCATTGCACTGAATAAAGTTCTTTAAAGAGAACCTGTACTTTACTCTGCAGTGAGGTCAACACAAGGTTACTATGCCACCAGAGTACGCCTCTAAATGTCTATGCAAGCTTCTGCTTTCTGAAAGTTGCACAAGACTCAACAAGCCCCCACTTCCACTTTATTGTGATAGGCATTTGCATATACAGTGCTGTCAAACCCATTCTGTAGAAGCATTTCAAGGCCAAGAAATGATCGATTCAAACCCAGCACCAGCACTCACTATGCCTTTCAGAAGATACATTGGAGTAAGGTCATTTTGTGGGTATTTCTCCTGTCCTGGCACTTCAGGGACTCAGGGAGTATGATAGGTAATATATGCTTAGTTTAATGCACCTTGAAAGCCCAAAGGGGCTCCTTGGGTTTTGGGCCTCTCTATGCATCTAGGCTGTGAAAAACTCTCACACATGTCGTAACCCAATACTCGGGAGGAATACTAGAATACTAGAGTGTGTTATGGGGTATAATTATAAGTATAAACAAATTTTGGCTCTTACACTCACCTAATTGCAAACAATATCATATATTATTCCAGTCCATATTCGTATATAAAACATAAAGTCCCTCCTAGATTGTAAGCTCCAAGGAGCAGGGTCCTCCTACCCCTCTTGTATTGAACTGTATTGTTGCTGTATTGTCTCCCGTTATATTGTAAAGCGCTGAGCAAACTGTTGGCGTTATATAAATCCTGTATAATAATAATAAAGTGCAAAACAACTACATTAACACGTCCTACACCACTATTTGTGTATTAAAGTGCCACATATGGTGCTTAGTTATTCTTCTTCCTCCTATTTGGTTACTTCAGTGCTCCACCATGTGTAACACTCCAATGCACTCACTACAAATCTATGACCCTTTATTTAAAAGGAAGGTCATAAGCACTATTATCCAAGGATCCAGATTCAGCTCCCAGCCGGTATCTTCCCTTGCTATGGACCTCTTTCACAGAGTGATATACAACTCTCCTTCAGCAAGTAATCAATGTGTGCCAGAAAACAAATAGCCTCATAGTGTAGTATTTATTAAAAAGTTAAAACTCTCAGGAAAATGTATAGGAATATCACTCACATTTACTGGTGCCCATTTTCTCAGCACTCAGCCTCTAGCAATTGTCGCTGCTCTGCTCTTTGGAGCCAGCATGCTTCCAGTCACCGGAACCAGAAATAACTTCACCACATAGACCAGATATAGCAGATGTGTTACTGCCTCTACATGTTTCACCATCACGGTCTATTTCCGGTTCTAGCAAAAGTAACAAAATAAACCATTTAACATCTACAGGGGTGCTTACAATAGTCAGCTTTTATTCATTTGTGTAAAATCTTTATCCCAGAAGGAAAAACATATTGCTGTAACTGCTTTAAACATGTTAGCTGGGGTTCAGCTTTTTTCTGTTGGCCCAGTCCATCTAAATCTGCCAGTACATCTAACACTACTCTCGTCCCAGATTGACAATACTTCTGTCCAGAGGTGTCTCCATTGTGCCTCCAGCCAGAATAGAGACACTCAAATACAGGAAGTGTGTTACTGGCCAGATCACCAAGTGAAAAAAAAGAAAATAACCCTAAAAAGGAAATCGAATGTATCCGCTACATTTAGGGATTGGTAAACTGCAATATATTATAATACATTGCAGTAAATAATTTGTGTATGGACAGTTTTAGTGCCAGTTCATATAAAAACAGTCCAAAAAAAATCTATAAAAATCGGATTTTATTATAATTTCATATAAAACATTTTCTTAATTGAAAGCAGAAGACTCCGGTCTTATCTATACAGCTAGATTACTGTATACAGCTAGTTGTGTAGATAATCTAGTTGTGTAGATAAGACCGGAGTCTTCTTCTTTTAAATAAAAAAATGTGTTACAATAACATCGGATTTTTTTTATTTTTTGGACTTTTTTTATATATATTTTTTCGTTGCTGCGTGAAAGTCCCAGGGGAGATTTTTTGTTGTCCTCCAATACTGTTTTAGGGATGAAGCAGCAGGTTATTCATAAGGACATCACCCCTTTTTTCTGTATACGTTCCAGTTTAAAAAAAAAAACCTGTAGAACATGCTGCATTTTTTTCTGCCATGAACTGTACCGGAACGCGGTAAAATGTATCAAAAATGCACTGGAACACACATGTCTTTTTTTAAGCTGAAGAAAAAGAAAGGGGAAAACATTACCTGGAACGCATCATAAACGCATTTAAATTCACACTGGAACACGTCAAAAATGCGCCAAAATTTTGGATCGAGTAGGGGAGGGTTAAAACCCCTGTCAGGTGTCTTTTCCCATTGGATTTTCCTTCATAACCTGTCCTGCAGACACAACAGAGGTGAGAGGAAATCTCTCCAAAGTGAGGAAATCCCCTATTAGGGATTTATCATCAGGACAGGTGTCACTATTGTATAATTTCCCTTCTATTCCTCTTCTGGAGACAACTCAAAGTTTTGGATTTTCCAAACCAGTAAAAGTGGCTACCAGGGCAAATAGAGTGGGTAATCTCCCCCAACGGGGACACAGGCGGCAATCAAAAGATGACATGGTTCTATCCATTCCCTACTTTATACAAAAATGACAAAAAAATCTTCTTTAGATACAGTTTAATCATTGGAGAGACTATGTGCATCTCCAGTACCTTCCTCCTACACAGCTATATGTTTATCACTTACTGTATAGACAGGTGCTCTTTAATATGGACAACTTCCCCATGATTTAAAGATTATAAAATGACTGGGGCTAAAAATACTGACATTATTCTCTCTATTTTTGTCTGCAAAGGAGGCTTTGTTTTTTCTTTGTGATGAATATTATGTGGCAGGCTACCAACAATCACTAAAATGAAATGCAAACAACCAATTCTGAATAGTTTGTTAAACCTCATTATGTGGGCAGTTGAAATGATCCAAGTATAATTTGTATTCTCTTTGTATGTATAACTCTGACCTTACAAAGGATAAAATGTATAAGCTGCTGAGAGACAAGTTTAGAGACCTTAGAATTGTTGTGGAGGATGCGTACTACCTGGGGCAGACTGACAACTCATGGGGCCCCTGGGCAATAGGGGATCATGGGGCCCCTATGTCCTTGCCCACACTCAAAAAAAGCCTATAAAAGGTACCAGGGGGCATTTCATGGGGCCCCCTACTGACCCCAGGCCCTCGGGCAGTGCCCAAGTGTTCGAATGGTCAGTCCGCCCCTGCGTACTACTATGTATGGGGGTCAGGCTTACTCCAGGCTAGAGTTATGAATAGAATATATGGGAATGGAAGTGAATGAGCTGCTTGAAGGTACCAGCCAGATGTTGGCTATTGTATTCTGCTCCAGAAAATGATGACAGCTGGGTTCTGATGCAGAGGCATTACACATCTGTTTGCAGAACCCAGGTTTCTACACAAATCATAAAGAGAGGTTCGGAGCAAAAGACTGCTGGAAGCTAGGTGCATGGTCTACATCAGTGTTTCTCAAACTTTTTTCAGTCAAGGCACCCTTTAAAATTATGGACAGTCCCAAGGCACCCATTTTAAAATGGGGTGCCTCAAGGCTGTCCATAATTTTAAAAGGGCACCCCATTCTAAAATGTGAAAAACTATTCTAATAGTTTTGTATAACATAGCAACATCCACACATGTAGGACACCCAACATTAGAGTTGATTAATTCTTCCAAAGCAAATACACTTTTGCACACTGGTACTGACTAGTATTCCAATGTTTCTCTTCTTCTCAGTTTTTCTCCATCACTAAGCTAATGTGACCCCAGCGTTGATGGAGAGGGGCAGGGGAGGGTCAAACTAGGATGCTGTGCAGGCAGCTGACATCCTCCTTATCAACTGTTGATGTCATTGGTTGTCAGGATGCTGGCGGCTAGAAGGTCGTAAGGGTGCACAATGAAAACCTGTGACTTTGTGTAACTAAAAGGGAGGCTTGTTCCACCCGCTGGCTTGTATACAGGTTTTGGGAAATTTTTAGACATTTTGCCATGGCACCCCTGAAGAAACCTCAAGGCACCCCAGGGTGCCTGAGCACCCTGGTTGAGAAAGGATGGTCTACATGACTGGGTTTAAAGAGTTCTGGTAAATGGAAGTGAATGTGTTGCTTGAAGCTACAGTACCAGCCAGATGTTGCTCTTGTTATGTGCAGCAGGAAAATATGACAGCTGGATTCTGATTATCTGCGGTGGTATTAAACATATGTTTGCAGATCCCAGGTTCCTACAAGCTGTAATAAGGAGAGGCGTGGACCAAAAGAATTCTGGAAGCTAGATTTTTTGTTAATTGGGAGTATTGGAGTGGTACACGGGCAGCCCAGGAGACAGTCTATTTTTAACCACTTGCCTACCGGACTATTTCTTACACTTTTCTCCTACATGTAAAAATAAGATTTTTTTTGCTGGAAAATTACTTTGAACCCCCAAACATTATATATTTTTTAAGCAGAGGCCCTAGAAAATAAAATGGTGGTTGATGCACTTTTTTATGTCACACGGTATTTGCGCAGCTGTTTTTCAAACGCAATTTCTTTGGAAAAAAATACACTTTAATGAATTTTAATGTGCACAAAACACAATATAATACTGAAATGTTTGGTAAAATATAAAAGATTATGTTATACCGAGTAAATAAATACCTAACATGTCATGCTTCAAAATTGTGCACACTTGTTGAATGATGACAAACTACAGTACTTACAAATCTCCATAGATGACACTAAAGTCTTTATCAGTTACTATTTTAGAGTTATACGGGGCGTCTGGTACTAGAATTATTGCTCTTGCTCTGACATTTGCAGCAATACCTCACATGTGTGGTGCGAACACTCTTTACATATGCATATGTGACCTACATGTGCTTTCAGGTTTTTTTTTTCTTGAACCATAGAAATGATCGGGGATGTTCTGAGAAAGGTGGTGGGAAGGAGACGGGGTGCCTTTCCGCAGCCTGTAAAAGCAATCCAGAGGTTTTTTTTAGCTGCTCAGATTGCTATTACAAGCGTACCTCGGTTCACGAACGCCTCGGTTAACGTAATTTTTGGTTTACGAATGAAAATCCATTGAAAATAATGGCTTGGTTTACTAACTTTTTTTTCACAATACAAACGGATTAATTGGTTTTCAATGCATTTACACATTTTTTTTAATCATGTCCCTGTACCGTACTATGTCTATAAAGTGCACTTTATAAAGAGTTTTGAACAGGTAAGACCTATTTTACTTTTTTCTGACCTCCGGCACGGATTAATTGGTTTTCAGTGCATTTACAAATTGATTTTTAATCATGTCCCTGTTCAGTATTTATGCCTTTAAAGTGCACTTTATACAGAGTTTTGAACAGATAAGACTTTTTTTTTACTTTTTTCTGATCTCCGGAGCGGATTAATTGGTTTTCAGTGCATTCCTATGGGAAACCACTTTCAGTTTAAGAATTTTTTCGCGATATGTCCCGCAGAATGAATTGAATTCGTAAACTGCAGTACCCCTGTACAGTGTTCAGCATCTCAGGCTGAAAACAGTGATACCGGGATCATGGCTATAGTCATGACCCCGGTATCCCCACGTCCACTAACGGACATAAACATATATCCTATAGTGTTGAAGCATTTAGAGTATAACAAAAGGCAGCATTTTTTTTTTTTTTTAGTTTTGGATCAAGTGGAGAAGAATTAGAATACTTGTTAGGTTTTTATTGCTGTCTGTGCCCCCATTAGGGATATTCAACCTCTTTATTTGTCCTGTTTACTGTTATCATTGAAAATGAAAGTAAAACAAAACCCCAAATTTTGGATTGTCCCCAGAAAAGTAATAGAAGGGAATTCTTCCAATTTGGACACTAGTTCTGGTGACCAAGGGGCTCAAAAATATTCCATTAATTTGCAGGGATATCCTCTCACTTCCTGCTTGGCTATGAAATGGGAAGTGAAGGGAAATCTCCCCAATGGGACACAGACTGCAGAAAAACACTGAAAGGGCTTAGAACCCTGCCTTACTCTATCCAAAATGAAAAAAAAAAAAAAACATTTTGCCTAAAGTTCTACTTTATTACCCTGATCATGAGTTTTGTTCACTACCAATTAAGATGTTGCTTATGGTTGGTAACAGCACTTCCCAGCATAGCTGTGATGTCACCTCCAATCCGTGACTACATCTGTCATTAGCGTTTCAAGTGCTCAATGCTAAAATGCTATGGAGGCTCGAAATTTAGATTTTTTTCTTTATTTCCATCTCTTCCTCCCTTCACCAGTTTTGAACACACTTGCAAGCTTGACCCTCATGCCCAGGGCCTCATTTCAACTTTGTACACTCAGCTGCTAAGCCCATTACCTGTTCCAACCTTTCATATATCACCAAGTGGGAGAGAGATTTCGGACTTCACCTGCAGGATGATAATCTGACCTCAGTCTGGTCAGCCACTAAATCTTCTTCCCAAAATGTAGTTGCTATGGAAGCTAACTATAAGGTCCTTCTGAGATGATACCTGGTCCCTGCCAGGTTTGTGAAGTCTCCTCGGGCTCTTGCTTCCGTGGATGTTTGGGGCCAGATACCTACTCATATCTGGTGGGACTGCCCACTAGTCTGCAATTTTTAGACTGAGATCTTTCATATACTGTCCACTCTCTCTGAAACCCTGTTGAGAGTTGACCCAACAATAGCCTTATTCAATAAAAAACCCCTAGACCTCACCTTCCAACAGTTTTAAGCTTCTCCTGCAGGTTACAACCACAGCTATACAGACAATTGCTGAGTCTTGGAAGTCCCTTCACCTTAGTTCAATGGAAACTAAAAACAGGATTACTCAAGACATTATCCATGCGAAAACAGAAGCAGTTTATTTAGTCAAAGTTGTATACAAACTATTTTGGAGTCTCCCCTACTCCCATGATAACTTACTGCTGTAAGTTGGCCTGGAACCCCATCATGGCTCACTATGGCCCCCTCTCCCTACCTACCCTATCCTCTCTCTTCCCTTTTTTCTTCTTTCCTTCTTGTTCCTGGACCCTTTTTCATATTTCATCTCTTTACACCTTTACTTGTGTAACATAGCAGCTGTCAGCTGATGCTAGACAGTCCTTTCTTCCACTGCTTTCAGGAGCAGGAACGAGTCATGAAGATGCCATGTTGCTCTACCAGCCTTTTTCTTTCTCCTGACCTCTTTGTTGAAGTTCTGATGTTTGGTTTTTAGTTGCTATACCTATCCTAGACTAATGAGGCCCGCACATGTTGTACTGGTAGCTAGCTCTCTCCTTAACACCTGGTGCCCCTTAATTCCTCTACATACATTACTATCCTAGCATGCAAATTGATGGTACTTTGTCCTGTGTTGTTACATTTATGCATCAATATCATCTCTCATGTGCCCTGCGTGGGCCTTCATCAAGTTTTATATGCCATGCGATCCCTATGCATTTACTTTTTCGTGTTATATCTGTTTTATACACATTGTTTGTCAATACAAAACTTTTGTCAGCAAAAAAGTTTGAACGAGATTTTTTATTTCCGAGAATCTTTGACAAAATTTGGGAGATTTCAGCGAACTTTCCCTATTTTGCATTGAAGTCACTGTAGCAATTCCACCTTACATCTGAGTTGCTGATGATTTGGGTCTTCCTATAGTCCTGCACAGCCAGGCAACATGCCTTTTCCATACAGACTTGCGTCCGTATGGACAATAAACTTGGATGGGGTAAGGGGTATACAGGATGCTCAATGCAACTGGAACTGAGGATTAACTTCCTGAAACTATTTACAAGTCTTTACAGCAAAAAAAAGATCCTCTTCTGGAGAGCTAGCCAGCATCTCCGGATGTACCACCCAGACCCCAGATTTCCTCAATCTAGCAGCTCTGAGTGAATCCCTGGGCAGGGGATCCAGTGCCTGTACCTTTAAATAGTGAAACAGTCCTGGGTAGCAGGTAATCCAGTTTCCCACCAGAGTGCTCCTTGCCCTATGTGGCCCAGGGGGTATAGGTCTACTCACTTGGTCTCTCTCCTGTGCTGTCGGTGGGTCAGTGGCTACTACCTGGCCTTCCGGCTGGGCTGCTCCTTCCCTGCCAGACAGGTGGTTCTCTCTCATGGGGGCCAGTAAAGTCCCAAGCTTTTAGTCTTTCAAGGTCCTCTGCCTGCAGGTGAGCCCCGCTCCATCTGGGCCCCTTCACAGGCTCCTGCCTGCAGCCTCACATCCTTCTCTCCACTCCTGCTCCCACACTACAACTTCCCTGC